TGATATTCCCATATATGGTGAGCCACAGCCCCGTAGAAATACACTAAACCAAATATGAACAATGACTAAAAGATTAGCAGTTGATAGATGGCCAACAGTGATACTTTCACTCATAACACTTTACAATTTCATGACATACAAGTCCATGTTACAGTCCATTTTCCAATCCTTTTCAATTCTCAATTTATAACTATGGCTCAAAACCTGGCCAAACAACTTATATGAGACAGTAACTCATATTAAACACTTTCCCATTTCATAATAGATAAGCATACTAGCTATATCACACACACCAACAGATAAGCATACAAGCTATATCATCACTTCCATAGATATGCATAAAAGCACTATCACACTTCCAAGGACAAGCATATGAGCTGTGTCAACACATTACTAGATAAGCATATGAGCTCTATCTATGGAGTCCATCCCCTATCTTCTCCCAACAACATCCGGTTTAGAGGTCCATCCCCTATCTTCCCCTAAAATGTGGAGTACATCCCCTATCTCCTCCAACACGACACACTGCATATAAATAGTAATTATACACATCATCACACAATACATAAATTTAATGTATTCTTTCAACCGTCATACTCAATGACACATTCCAGTGATTAGTCTCAGTTTGCCTAATCATCATGCATTGTCTACAACAATCAAGACTATCCTCCACCGATAGCCCAAAGCAGTTATTTCTATACAGAAAATAAATGCAACAATGGATATATAATCAACATTTCAACTAGGTGAGCGATAAATCAACCACACCCTTTAATCCCATACCTTTCCAAATCAATTCCTCATTTCTCATAATTAATTATACGAATTAATTAACCAATGTAATTAAGGCATTTTTCATAATTAACATTACAACCTTTAGGTTCCATTTTCATTAATATTTCAACATTAATTTCACTTTTCCATGCCAAACATGCATTTAGGTTTTATATAAATAAAAACCCCAACTTGTAAAATTTCACAAAGGCCCAAACTCTCTCAAAATTACCCAACAACCCCCAATATATCGAAATGCAAAAATTTAAAGACAAAGCTCATAAAGAGGAGTAGGATATCCCTACTTCAAAGAATGACACCCAGCCAAGGAGATGATGGAAACGAAAATGCTCCAAACCACGAACTTCTCGGATCAAAAGATAGCCCTCGACGATCAACAACCTTTTTGTAAAGGCAAAAGGTGAGGAAATCACTCATACTAGATCAATACCTAGAGAGAAGTCAAGGTTTTAGAGAGAGGATCTCTCAAAATGGGTTTTAGAAAAAGTAGGAGAGAGAAAGGAAAGTAAAAAGTGATTTAAAATCACCCAGCGGATAACTCATATACGCATGACCCGCTCGAGCGGATAACACAACGCTCGAGCTCCAAGAACAAAAATCTGGACACGCTCGAGCGTAATAAGGCCCGCTCGAGCGCCAAGACACAAGAATAAAGCACTTCCGCTCGAGCGCGAAAACCAGTCCGCACGAGCGTAGATTTTTCCCTCTCAGAACTTATACCCAGAAAGTACTACCCGCTCGAGCGCCAACAAACCCGCTCGAGCGCTACCGCTCGAGCGCAAACAACCCCGCTCGAGCGTAGAAATCACATATGCAGAAGTTTTGCAGGAACACGAAATACTGGAGGTGTACAATCCCCGCTCGAGCGGAACGCCAAAAATCTGGGCAACAAAGAATTGAAACCAAAGCCTAACCAACCTGTAACAACTCTGCCCAAAACATCCTAAAACTCAATCAAGTGAAATTAAAGGACGGCAACAAGATGGATACCACTACCAACTTCACGGAACCGAGTCCGGAATACAACAGAACAGTAAAAGGACAACCGGGATCGCTATAAAATATAATATAATTTAATTTTGGTAAATAACTTCTACATATTACTCTAAAAAAATAAACAAATTTAATAATTAAATGTACCACAAACCCTATATACAAATGTAGATTGAACAATTTAATCCATTTATAATGGTCTGGAGAGAAGAAATCTAAAGAACTCCTCATTTTAAGTTATTCTTTTTTATGTGAGGCTGTCAAATGTATTTTTCTTCTTTTGGAAAGGCTGCCAAAATGTGCAATGGGTTGGCTTTACGGCTAAACTTGGCATATAATAATGAAATATTGGCCCTACATTCTCAACGGTTCAAATCCAACGTGTCGCTCTCTCTTTGTCACCAAACTGTGAGAAAAAATATATACAGAAAATATTATATATGTAATATCTTGATGTGAGATAATATATTTGCTGTTAACAATATAATATATTATACACTATAGTGCATTTGTAGGCTGGCATTTGTAAGCTGTAAAGAGCTCACCCACTATGCTTTCGGTGCTTAAGTATTCCAATTGTCTCCCTCTCCTCTCTATAAAGAGAGAGGGCTCATTCTCTTGTATTTACACAATAACATATATCAATATATACACAATTTATTCTCTCTTTCTTTATACATTAATTCTTACATTTGCTATCATAGATGCAAGTATTTTGCTTGTAACTATATTTATAAAATTTTTAAATCGTGTTTCATTTTATGAAATTCTTTCAATATACAAAGCATAACTAATCTGTAAAAAAAACCTTTTTTTTATCCATGGATGATACAATTCACCACTACCACCTCATCTCCTCTCTTAAGTTATTTCTTTTTGTTTTCCTTACACTCTCACTAATCTTACTATTCATTTTTTTTTTTAAAATGAGATAAAAATATAATTGTGTACAAAAATCTCTTTGAAATTATGAGTCACTATAATTAAATTTTTAATTTAAAATAAAAAAAATTCTATATTTCGATAGCCGTTCAGCATATTAGACTCATTTTTCTCAATTTCTTTCTATTCACTTTCTCTTTCTCTCGTTTTGGGATTTTTTTTTTTTTTTTTTTTGTGGGTTAAAACACTCTCGTATAAATAATTATAAGCTCATATTTAGGTATTGTTCAACCTTACATGATTCTAAGGGGTGTTTGGAAAGATAGTTAAAAGCTATTTTTTTTTTACTTTTTTCGACTTTTTTTGAAAAAAAAGTATAAAAAATGTGAGAGATAATGTGACTCAAAATGGATTAAAAACTGAGAAGTGACTTTTAACTCACTTTCTAAAAAAAACCTAAATATATCATCTGTTCTGTTAAAAAAAAAAACACTCTCATAATAAAAGAGTTTAGAATAAAAAAATAACAAATATAATTTTTATTAGAATTATGTATTAATAGCATTTTTAAAATATAGACCTTTTTGTAGAAAAAACATCAAACAAATAAAAAGAATTAATTACAAATTAAGTCTTCCATACAGGTGACAATTATTTCTCCATACAAACAAGAACTACCCACTGCAACTAATTACAAAATTTCTATTAATTTATAATTATTCATATTTTAATTTGAAACAGAAAAGCTCCAAAGAATTTCTTTAAAAAATGACTATGATTCATATAGCATTGCAAGGCCGATGGATTGACAGAATGGTTTCTCATTATGACTATTTGCTTTGTTATTCCACCTAACAACCTAGTCAATCGAAACTTGATCCATCACAATTCTTTAAATCCTTTCATGTCACAATCCCTCAATTATTTGCATTTTTTTTTTTTTTTTGAGTGCAAGTAATATCACTTGCATCTAAAACAAATTGCAATAGGAGGGAGGAGGTGAGGGGTTGCGATAGAAAGGAATTCGTGGGCTTCTAGTGGTTAGGATTTTGGCCGCTTAGGTTGTTGTGTGAAGTAGAAAGGGACTGGTTCAAATTAGAGGGAAGAGGGAAAAGTGACAGTAATGATGGTGGATAGTAATTAAGTGGTGGCATGTGACCAAACAAAGTTACACATAAGCAAGAATATGAAAAAAGAAAAAAATATAAGCAGATTTTGATAAATGAGACCTAAGAGCATCTCCAATTTTGGACTAAAGTTTTCATTAAATCTGAGTAAAAAAATAATTTTTTTCTCAATCTGATACCGAGTGCTCCAACGGTTGATTTTCATCAAATTTTCATCAAATTTGTGCCGGGATAACCGGTTGGTCGACCGACCGGTTGACCGGTCGGTCGACTGGTTAAGCCAAATTTTTTTTTTTTTTTTATTTTTTTTGAACTTTTTAAAGCTTTTAGTGGTCAATCGGTTGGTCGATCGGCCGGTCCACCGGTAAGGCAAATTTTTTTTTTTTTTTCAACTGCTTGACTTTTTTTTTGGAACTGTTTGAACCTTTTGGTGGTCGACCGGCCGGTCAAACGGTTGGTCTCTCCCAACGGTCATGCACAGTGTTTTGATGAAATGCGGAGCCTGTCCTCATTTTGGTGAAATGTTTGGTGAAATCTTGATTTGATATCAATTTAGTGAAACCGTTAGAGCATAAAAATGTGTTTTTTTCACCAAATTTTAAATTTGATGCCAGATTTGGTTCAGGGTTGGAGATGGTCTAAGTAGCCAAGTTGTTGTCCTTTGAGTAGTAATTTATTAAAAAAAAAGTGTGTTTAGTTTAATTTTTTTTAAAGTTGATTTTTTTATTTTTCGTATTTTTTTTATTTTTAGTGAATATTTAAAAAATTTAAATATTTTCTTAAATTTTTTTAGATGCACATTATGTAAATGTATCTAAAAAGTAAAATATATATGAAAAAATATTTTTAAAAATTAATAAATACATAAAAATACAAAATATATATTGAATTTTCAATTTTTTTTTTATATTTTTAGTATTTAGTGAAATTTTAAAAGATTTTTTTACGAAAATTATACTTGTTAAGTATATTTATGTTAGGTGTGTTAAAAAAATTTTTAAAAAAATACAAAAAATAAAAAAATATAATTTTTTAAAAAATATTTTCAAAAAACTATAAACAAACGTAGTGATCTTAATTTTTATACCATTTGCCACTCATATGTTATTCTTCCTAAAATAAAATAACATTAAAAAACAGAGGGGTTGCCAGTTATAAATTCTAAAAATAGGTACAAGTCAAAAGAGTATATGACCCCAATCAGCAGTTGACGTTTTAAAACCGCCTAACAAACAGTCCTTCCTCTTTCTCCTCCTCTGATTCCGCACCCAAAAACCTCTGTTTCTCTGTTTCTCTTCTTCTTCATTCATTCACTTTTCCCTCTGATTCAGTTTGGAATTTTTTTCCAAATTCAAGAGAGAGAAACAGCAGAGAGAGAAAGATTATGTTTTCTATCTCTCTTCTCTTTAGCTTCCAATGGCTTCTCTATTCCTTCTCACTCTTTCTACCCATTTCAATCGAATCAATTTCTTCGTCTTCTTAATGCTCTGCTTAGAAAAGCATTGACTCCCTTGTTCAAAAATGGCGTCTTCTCAGGTCGAAATCGCCTCATCCACGCCTTTTGGTTGTGTTCTGAGGAATCGATGGAACAGAGAAACCAAAACCCAATCCCCCCGTTTTCAGCAAAACCTCAAAGATTTGGTTTCCTGTATTTCGAGTTCATCCCCTGTTGAGAATTCTAGCAATGTAGATGTCTGGGTTCGCGAGGAAGACCAGAGAGAGAGTTCTCCGACTCAATCTGATGGTGGGTCTGTGGAGATTCCCAATTTGGGTGGAGTTTCCTCGCTTGTTCGAAAATGGAGAGTCATTTCGGAGTCGAGAACGAGTCAATCAGCTGCTATTAACATACCCAATTCATCTTCTTCCCCTGTTGAAATGCCTCCCCTGTCTCGGTCCGAAACTTGTGAATCTGTTGATGAAAAGTTTGGCACACCCTCCCCATCGGTGATGACAGAGGAGGAGTCGTTTTTGGATTGGGAATCCGAGACAATGCCAAGTCGCCCGCCATCTGCTCGAGGAAAAGACTCTGTGGAGAGCGAGAGGCTGAGAGTCGCCGATGTGATTAGGAAATTGACATCGGTGACTCAAATCCGTGGTTCGTTGATGACTTGGAAGAATGATCATGATCGGGATCAGCAGCAAATTAGCAATGAATCGTTGCCTCGGCTGAATACTGGTTTGGATGATCATCAACAACAACCAGAACATAGGTGTTTCTCACCCCGGATCAGAGGGCGTCTAGCGTTTAACGAGCTTCTTTTGCAATTGGAACGCAACAGGGTCAGCGAGCTTGATAGTTTGGTGGAGCGTCGAGCAGTTTCAAAATTCTCACATAGAGGCCGCATTCAGGTTGAATTTAGTTTTCACAGTTTTCATGATTGAAAGAGAATTGGTATTGGTTTAACTAGGTGCGGTTTGGTTACGTTTTTAGTTTATTGTTTTTGTTTACATCAAATAAAAAATTATGTTTAGTATAAATTTAAAATTTTGTTTTGAAAATAAGTGGAAGGGGTGGCCAATGGGAGGTCGTGGCCTAAGGTGATTGTCAATGGTCGCATATGGTGGCCAGACATTGACCATGCTGAGGTGATGATTGGAGGTTGTTTCTGGCCACCGGAGGTGGTTGTCAGCTGCATAGGTGGTGGGTGAAGGTGGTTACTAACGACCAGAGATGATGATTGGTCGTCAAATGTGGTGGCCAAAGGTAGATTCTGCCAAGAGGTGAAGGCCAACGGTGGTTGCTGCAGGTGGCCAGAGGTGGTTGTTGAAGGAGGTCACTGGTGACAGTGATGACCGGGGGTTGGTGGAATGAATACTTTTTTTTCTAAACAAGTAAACTTTTTTTGTGTACAGCAATTTGGTAAATTTTGTAAGCCGCTAACGAGTTTTTGCTTACAGTTTTTAAAGTTGTGGTAAATATAAATAGGAAACTGTAAACAAAAATGTTACCAAATGGGCCTCTAGTGTTTATATTTTGAGCATAGATATGTTGTTTTGTGCTTTGAACACAGGCAATGCTTCGCCTTAGATTCCTCCGTGAAGCAGCAATGGGATATCAACAGCACTCACGTTTAATGCCAATTGGGGTTCAACACCATTGGCATCGCGAAGCAGCACCAGCCATTGGGTCTCAACAGCCTTCGTGTCGTGCAGCAGAGGTTGAAAATCAACAGAATTTACGCCATGAAGCTCCAATGGGGGGGCTCGCTGCTCAACAGCATTCTTCACATTCCACAATAACCGGAGTTAAACAGCATTCAACACTTTCAACAACCACTAGGGTTCAACAGCATTCATGTTGTGAAACAGCAGGTGAGAGTAAACAGCATTCAAATTCAACAGAAGTTGGTACTCCACAGCATTTACATCCTCATGAAGCAGACGTTGGGGCTCAACAACATTTATTTCGTGAAGAGGCAATTAGAGATCAACAACATTTGCATTCATTGCCAACTGAATCAAACAGACCTACTCAAGGTTCAGTGGTCGTGCTTCTCAGGTAAAAGCATTCACTAATAACTGCAATTTTTTTTGGGTTCTTGTTTGAAAATATTTTTCTCACTATCAACTAAACTTATCCGTCAGAGAAGGAAAATAATAAACTTTTGTGTACTAAATATTGTAAAACATTAGTTCTGAATAGCTTTGAATTGAGTTTACAAATGGTAAGAGAGATTTGAAATTAGATACTCAATTTAAAAGTAACTTCCTAAACTCCTAGTATAATGAAAACAGAATAAAGATAAGAGAAGAGGAAAACAAGAGTTTCTCATTACCAAACATGACATTATGAAGCCTGTGTTGCAATATGGCTAAGAAAAATCCAGCTTTAACTGAGTTACCTACCCGGTAATATTTGCTCTTTCAAGTTATGGGCCATTTTACATCCAAATCACTAGATAAAGCATCTTGAAAAATCTTGTTGAATTGAATTTATGAATCTTTGCACTCGTTAAAACCAAAATGTGACAAGAAATCTTTGTTCTAATGAACTGCAGTCTAACTTTTAATTTTCCATTGACGTGATCTTTCGATTGAATTTAGAGAGAAATTCAACGTCAGGGTGGAGAGTGATGCAACTAACCTGAAAATCCCCCGTGGAGTCGTGGAAAATAATGTGGAAAGCTTTACTTCCAGTCAACTCAGGCAGGAGCCTCATCATCTAGAAGTTAACACCACTGAGCAGCAGAGTACCTTCTCAGAGCAGGACTCAGTGGCATATACAAGGGACAATGTTCATGAAGAAGCTACTCGAAATTCACATAATATATGGCAACAAACAAGCTATGAAATCTGCAATCTTGAATCACAAAAATCTGAAGATAGACTGACATCAAGTGGCTGGGACGTGGATGTGAATACAGCAGAGCAAGAGGCCAATAATGAGGAGCTAATAGCAACCAATCAAGACTCAATAAATGATGTCTCTGATCCACAGAATGATTGGGAAGAAGAAGAGGCCAATAACCAGCAGCAAATGGGAAATGATCAGATCCAGGATTGGTTAAGTGTCATTTCTCATCCTTGGACTGAGTGGGAAGAACAAGAAGTCGATAACCAGCAGTTAATAGGAATGAGTCATGATTGGATAGGTGAGGTTTCTCGGCCAAGGAGTGATTGGGAAGGCCTCAGGCAAGCAAGGTACCAAGAGATGCTTGATCCTTACATGGAAAATGAAGATATACGGCAACTCCTTGAACGGTACACTAACTATTACTCTGATTTCTTCTTTATTCTGTTTTTTGTTTAATTTATTATTTTTTGTGTTTTTCTGATAATTCAAGCATCAAGAGCTATGAAGTATGGGTACTCCAAAAATGTTGTCGTACTTGTACCGGGTACTGGCACTCATATCGATAGGGTTGCATGCGTACGGGGTACTCAAAATAAGTACTGGGTACTTTTTATACATTTTTTGCCAGTTGGATACTTCATGGATATATTGGGAATACACCAAGTTATAAGACATTGGTGGGGATACGTTTAATTTACTAGATAGTTCTTATTTACTTGAAATTGTAAATCCTTTGCTTAACGTGCCAGAGATGAAAACTGTATTATTTAATGATGAAATTGATGGAAGTGAAAACTAAAGTTTCAAGTTTTTAAATTTTGCTTCGTTAGCTTTTGGAATGAAACTTTATTTTGTAATTTCTCATATTTAATGGCATTAAAACGGCTTATAGACTTCGCTTTGGTATTGGTATTGTTGAACTATGATTTTTCTTTTAATTTTGTAATTTCTCTTTGTAGTTTTGGCATTAAACTTTGATTTGTACATTGAATCTCAAACTATAAATTATAAAAAATAAAAAAATTATTGATGTATCCCAGTTGTACCCGTATCCTATTTTTTTAGATTTTGCAGTATTGGCGTACCCATATCAGTATCCCTACCCGCACCTATGCTTCATAGTTCAAGAGCGTAAAGCATCATTGTTGCGTAAGAAATTCAAAAATAAAGAGCATTGTTTGCTATTTATATGTATGTATTTATCTATGATGCACTTGTGGACTGTTTCTTATGAGGTTTCTAAATGGGGATTAAATCTTATGTATCAAGTTTGGGCCAATTCTTTTCCTCTGTTTATTCTTGGTCTTTCAAAAAAATAAAAAATAAAAAATTCATTGATTGTTTTTTGGTTTTTGTTTCTTCTTCTTCATTGACATCCTGATTTTTATGTGCAGGAGAAGTGTGTCAACATTTCTTTCTAGTAGTTTAAGAGCGAAGATGGACCAATTGATGATCTCTCGCGTACAAGGATTACCAGATTCAATAGGAAATCAGCAAGAAGAAGAGGAAGAAGAAAGCCAAGGTATACGCAATAGACTAGAACAGCTAATGATGTCTCGCTTACAAAGGGAGAAACAACTGATGAGCAGTCTCCCAGAAGAAGAAGAAGAAGAAGAGGAGGAGGAGCAGGATATAGGAGTTGAAGAAGAGGAGTTGGAGGCAGATGAGAAGTTGGAGGAGGATGAGGAGGAAGAAGAAGTGACAGAGAGCTCAATTGGGCACCAATGTAGTGAAGTTAGTGATTATGAGGAACAAATGGCAGCTGTGAGGTCATGGAGTGGTGATGGTGATAGTGAAGTCAGCTATGATTCTGATCGAACATCTCCATCACCGCAACAAACTCAATCATCTGAGTCTTCCTATTCAGACGCTCAACCTCACTCTTCGTTTACCAATCGTTCTTCAATTGTTAGTGCTGTTCTCCTTTTAAGTTTTTCCTATTTGTCTTTCGAGTGAATTTGGCATAATAATTTTGTGGGTCCAGCAGGAAATGGAACTCATTTATGATTTGAGAGGGCATATGGAGCAACTCCACCGTGAGATATCTGAGCTACGAAAATCAATAAAGAGCTGCGTGAACATGCAGGTGAAATTGCAAAGGTCTATGAAGCAGGAAGTTTCAGTTGCTGTAAGTAGCTCGGGTGAGTTGGAAGAGATATTTTGCTGATAACCTTAAACTTTGACAACATATTTCTAATACAATTATATCATAAATTAAGGAATGATCAAATAGAGTTATGCACTCAAATGCTTTAGTGAACTTTTTTCAGATTTCTTCACGTATGCTTTACGATGAAAAAAGTTAACTAAAGACCCACCAAAAAAAAAAAACAAAAAACAAACAACACAAAAAAAGAAGTTAGAAAACAATTTTTAAAAATCAAACCAAACGAACTTAGGATTCATCTTCTTAAATGAGCCCCTCCACTTTTACATGTAAGAAATTTACTTTGATGATACTTCATATTTCATAGTTCATATGTTCTATTGTATCTGTTAAACTGTTTTCCTACGACTTTCTCATGTAACAAAAACCCTTTGTGTTCATGACTACAGTACCAAGGGTGGGGAGGAAGTCACGCAGTGGGGCTCCAAGGAAAGGTAGTTGTTGTGTTTGCTATGAAATGAAAGTCGATTCTCTTCTCTACAGGTACTTGACTTTGAAGCCAAGCTTTACTTTGTAAATTTGAGATGTTTCAGCACCAACAAAACTCATCGATTCAGCTTCTCTTTTTCCTATTGATTTTCAGATGTGGCCACATGTGTACCTGCTTCAAGTGTGCCCATGAGTTGCTATGGAGTAGCGGAAAATGTCCAATATGTCGAGCTCCAATAGTGGATGTTGTTCGGGCATATGCTAATGATTCATAGAGAGGACAGATGAATGATTCTCTTGAACAGAGGACAGTCTCTAACTTGAATTTTTTATTCCACAAGACGAGTTGAAAAAGGAGTTTTCATCTTTCAAAATCCTTTTCCTATGTTCTTGGTTTGCGGATTTTGGTTGTGCTTTATTCATCTTTTACAAATTTTACACGGAAAGGCATTACACATTATAAAGTGAATTACTTTTAGATAACAATCTATATTTTATACTAATTTTATTCAAATGATTCCAACAATTTCCAATGCCATTTTTGGTATCTGCTTCAAGAAAGAGCGAAGTGTTCGTCTATGTTACTTTTTGCCAATAAAACTCAAATCATAAGAGACGGCATAAATTTTTCTAGAGAACAGAGATTTATGATCCCTATATATAAAACCGAGAAGAATGCTTTTCCCCAAGACTACGGGTGAAGGGGGGGACTAGATTGGTTAGAGAGAACTAGAAGGGTGTTCAACATAGTTATTGACACTGTTTGTTGCAATAGAAAGTGTTCTCTGAAAAATGACTTCTACAATTTTTTTTCTTCTTTTTCCGTGTTTGGATGCAATCTTGAAAATGATGGTGCTAACAGTAATGATAATAGCGGCGGTGCCCATAAAGTCCTGTCGAATGAAGAAGAATCTATTGGGTTTGTGAAACCTAATCTATACATTTCAACACGTTGTCACAAATCTAATGAAGGATATTACAGTAATTTGTTGATGTAAATCATAACATATGTATTGTTGTTTTCACAAAAGTGACATTGTACTTTTTTGTTCTTTGAATATAGTGAAATTGGTGTGAGCTATGGATATGAACAAACTTGTCAAATCACGTGTTTTGTATTTTTTTTATTTGTAATTGATTCTTCTCGCTATTGTTTGTGTGTGTGGTTTATTCTTCAACAATTTCATTAGAGAGCTTACGTACACCATCATCTTTTTGGCTTCAAAAACATGTTTAGAAAAGATGGTTAAAAACTATTTTTTAACTTTTTTTTTGACTTTTTTGTGAAAGAAGGAAGTGGGTGACTTCCGAAAATAGGCCAAAGTGTGCATCCATGTGTTTGCACTTGTTTAATCATTGAAATGGATGTCAATACCAAGTTGTTAAGTTTTGTCACGATTTTTTTTTTTAACATAAAATATCATTTCATTTTTAATTGTTTAATAACTGTTGTCATGATTAATCTGATTGATTCACATATAGATATAGCTCACTCACACGCACAGCGTGTGATCATACCTCTAGTATAGATAAGATGAATGAGACAATAAGGCCATGTTTGTTTGGGTGGACATGAGTTTGGGATTGAACTAATAATCCAATGTTTGGTTAAACAATTGAAGTACGGATTAATTATTTTAAACTTGACTATTAGTTAAGATAGGATATGTAATCCAACGGATTGGTAGTCCTAGGACTATTAATCATGGAAATACTAATCCAGTCCGCCCAAACAAACATGGCCTAAGTGTATTTAGTTTAATTTCGTACTTACAATAAGATGTCTAAAAAATATAGCAATCACCTCCCAAAAAATCAGCTTCTACTATTTCTTTTCTTTTCTTTTTAAAAATGTTCTTTCATAATATAAATGCATGAATTAGAATCATATAGTAATTAAGTGCATGAATTCGAATCATACACGATCAACTTATTTCCCCACTACAATATATAAGGGTTTTAGAAACTATATGTCTTGGTCTCTAAAGGTAAAAATTTTATTGTAAAAGATATTTAAGGATCAATTTCTATCGTTACGAGAATAGTCGCTAAAAGGTCATTTCAAAAAGTCAAAAATAAGACCTTTAGCAACAAAATTTTGTAGATGTCACTAATAAATAGATTTTTAGGGACAAGATAATTTGGTCTCATAATGGTTTATTTTTTGAGACAAAAAATTTAGTCCCAAAAAGATAATAATTCATCACTGATGTCTAATTTTCGTTACTAAAAATATAATAACGACATTTTTCGCAACAAAAAATATTTGGTGCCAAAAAAATAATTTTACCCCTAAATTTTAGTTTCTAGAACCTTAATTTTATTTATTTATTTTTTTGGCTCTAACCATAACAACAACAGATTTAACCTAGAAAAAAATATACATATATACCCAAAAAAGAAATAAATGGTATTTTGTTTAAATAAAAATGTTACAAATCCAAAAACAAACAAACAAAAAATAACAAAAAAAAAAAAAAAAAATTCTAAAAATTACTCATAATTTGAGTTGGGTTGATCAGATTCATTGTTGATATGAGCTCACAACATATGGCTTCATTTGAAAAAAAAATATTCTAAAAATTACTTTTTTTGATTGCATAGCTCTTCTATGATAAGAATGCTTCCATGCTCTATGGCGTCATTTGAAAAGTGGGTTAGCTTTTTAAGTTTTTAACTTTTTTGACCTTTTTGGTTATTATAGTCTGGGACTAAAAGCCTCGTTTGAGTTAGTTTTTTTTACTTTTTTGAGGAAAAAAAATTTAAAATGATTTTGATTTAAATGTGACATTTTGTCTTATTAATTTTTTAACTTATTTTTTTCTTTTTGTAGCTATTTTAGTCTTATAACCCCATGCCAAACTAGGGGAGGCAATTTTCATAGTTCTAATCTTTGATTTTAGGAGGATATATTGTATTGTCATATATGGATATAAAGGTATTACTACTTAATGGGCTATGGGTCTGGCCCATCTCTTACTAAAAGAAAGTTGCGCTCAGAATTTGGGCCCCAAACTCACTTGCATAATAATTGACAATCTTACAACCAAGTTCTTTTCGGGGGAACTTACCGATAGCCCTATACATAAAGTTTAAAATTCATCTAATCTCAAAATAAAATATTTGTACTAATTAATTTTATATATTTTTAATTATTACTCAAAAATCATATTTTTTTTAAAAAAAAATTTAAAACGCTGCTACATCCCACCATTGCCAAACTTTCGTCAAACGATCGCTGGAGACTCACCAGAATATTCAACATCACCAGAAAGTCGCCGGAGTATCGCCGGAGTATACTAAACGTCACCGGAAGTCGACGGAATGTCTAAAATGTTCATTGGATATCAAGAATATCATCATAGACTTACCGGAATGTCTAAAATATTGTCCCAAAAAAAAAGAAGAATAAATTGGGAAATTATAGTGAAAAAATATTGCAAAATGTGCTAATATTGATAAATTGAAAGAAAAAAAAAAGTAACAACAATAAACAACAACAATGAGAGAAAAACATATATTATTTTCAATTTTTGCAGAGTTTAAGCAAATAATCCCCAATATTGATCAAACTGAAAATTAAGTTTTGAAATTGTAAAATGTTACAATTTCAAAACATGAAATTAAGCATTTATCCTTATTAATCAAATTGAAAAATTTGTTATGAAATTGAAAAATTTTACAGTTCTAAAGAAAGTTATGAAATTATAAATTTTTACGGTTCTAAATAGTGATTCATTTCAACACTAAAAAAACTAAAACTGTAAAATTATATACTTTTCACCGCCTGTAACTTAAACTAAAAAACAATTTGTTCAAAACTTGAAAATTTTCTTGATTAAAATAGGAAAATAGAAGTGTGTAGTATAAAAAAAGTAAAAAAACTAAGAGATTGAAGGACAGAGACATATATAAAGAGAGGCTTGTATTCTGACAACTATTTTTAGTTTAGATCTAGTTGGATTTGATGTAAATCTACTTAGATCTACATCAGAACTGAGTAGATTTACGTCAAATTTGAATAGATCTACTTATCTTCTCCCTAAGAAACTCATCTTCTTTATCGTCGGTGAATGTAAAGTAAGGAGTCGGTACTCGGTGGTTACTAGTAAATCCCAATCAATAGTGGTCACAGGCTGCCAGTGACTGTAGATTAGAAAGATAAAGAAAAGAAGGCGTGGTTGTGGTTGTGGTTGTGGTTGTGGTCGTCAGTGAAAGAGATAAAGAAAAGAAGGTGTGGAGAAAAATAAAAAGATAAATGGACATAGGACTTTTAGGTATATCTAGAAAGTTTTAGAATTAAATACAATACACACTTTTCAAAAAGGACTTATGGGTAATTTGCCCTTCTTTTTAAGTCTAAATTATCTATCGTACTTATATCATATTGTCATGACGTCAATATTAAAAGATAAAAGAAATGAGATAGAGATAGAACAGAAAGTACGATAGATAATACCATGCCCCCAACTTATCCTGATACGAAATTATTTTTTTCGTGATTGATAACTTTTTTTTTTCTTTTTTTTTTAAAATTTTTATTTTTAAGTTCAATATTAATGGACTACCCAATGGAAGTAGCCTTCACCTTGCTAATTACCCTCTAACTCAAATGAAGGTGGGGTTAGATCCCATTTAATCTCTACTAAACTAGTTGGTACTTTCATGTTTGATAATTAATTGTAAGTATTGAAATTATGGTACAAATCAAAAGCTAAATTGATTGATTTTGATTATATCTCTTATAGAATAAAGGCTCTTTATTTTCCTTGAAAGTGAAGATGAAGAAAATTTAAGACAAGCAATTGTGAAAGCCCACAAATCTAAAAACAGCATCACTAAAGCGTGTAGATAGGGATGGCAATTTAAACCCGGCCCGACAGGGACCCGGCCTCCCGACCCCGAATTGAGTGGGGTTTTCTCGAAAAATACCGCCAACGAGACAGGGACGATATTCAAAAATAAATCCCCGAACAGATTCGGGTCGGGAACGGGGATTAGTGTCCCAGCCCCGTACCCGGCTCGTCCCCGGCCCCGTTCCTCGGCCTAGTTCATCCCCGATGTGAAATTACTATTTTACCCTGTAGACGGGCCCGCGGAGGGCCTCATGCTACAGTTCGGACTCGATTTGTGTCACGGTTCTTAATCTGAACCAAAGAGTCCAAATCTGGCAAATCGTTTTGAGAAACAGATTTTTGAAAAAGTAGTGCCAAACATGGACTGCTTTGCCAGATACAGAGTTTCTGATTAGTCAAGGATAAATATTCATTACTGTTTACAGTCAAATCAATCTATTGTCATCGGCTTCCATAGCGTCAAATAAGCAAGAGTATGACAATACACAAGCATTGTTCCTTAAGACACCCGATCACTGGATTTGCACAA